GGCATGTAGTGTTTGTGTAGAGAATCAGCTGAGAGTCCTTATGGGGTTCCCTTGTAATTCACTCTTTGTTTTTCTCTTGCTGCCTTTAGGATCATTTCTTTATCCTTGACTCTGGCCATCTTGATGATGATATGTCTTGGTGTGGGTCTGTTTGGGTTCTTTCTGTTTGGGAACCTCTGAGCCTCCTGTACTTGGATATCTGATTCCTTTTGGTTTGGGAAGTTTTCAGTCATGATTTCTTCAAATACCTGTTCAATCCCCTTTGTTCTTTCTTCCCCCTCTGGAACCCCTATTATGCATAGATTGGGATGCTTTATATTATCCCATAGGTCCCTTATATTGTTTTCATTGTTTTTTAATTTGTTTTTCTCTCAGCTGTTCTGATTGGGTGCTTTCTGTTGTCCTGTCTTCTAGGTCACTTACTCGTTCCTCTGCATTATCTAGCCTGCTTTGTACAGCCTTTAGGTCAACTTTTTATCTCAGCAAATGAGTTTACTAATTCTACTTGGTTCTTCTTTATAGCTTCTATTTCATTTTTGACATATTTTATATATAATATATATATATATATATATATATATATATTATATATAAACACTATTTCTTTTAGTTCCTTCAGTGCTTTGATCACTCCTTTTTTGAAATCTTGATCTAGTAGGCCATTGATGTCTATTTCCTTGATTGTGCTTTCAGGGGATTTCTCTTGATCTTTTAATTGGGAGTGGTTCCTCTGCTTCTTCATATTGCTTATATCTCTCTGGCACTGTGGATTAAGGAGTGTCAGTTATCTAGTTCTCCTGGAGACGGTGTGCTCTTAATGATTTTATTGGGAGGTCTTTATGTCTTTGCCCTGTTTCACGAACTCAGCTTGCTGTTTCCAGAGGCCCTCTGTTGGCGCCCTCGTCGGTGCTGCTCCCAGTGGCTGTTGGCTAGCAGATCGCGCCCCCTCCTAACACTGGGTCAGGAGCTGAGCTCTTACCCGGTGGGTGGGCGGATCACTCCCCCTCCCAATGCCGCAGTCAGATGCTGCACTCTGGGGGAAGCAGGTGGGCGGATCCTGCTCCCTCCCAGCACCGTGGTCAGGTACTGCATTCCTGCCAGGAAATGGGGTGGCCACCCACCCTTTCCTGGTGCTGGTTGCTCTGCTGCTCTGTGCAGCTGCCCGCTCCACCTCGGGTCGACGCTCTGACAGCAGGCTCAAGGAAGACGGCGGAATGGCCCCACCCCTGCTCCATGCCAAATCTCAGCTCCTTGTTTGTCTTGACGGTGCAAGTTCTCTGAGGTGCCAGGGCAGAAAATCCTATCTGCCTCAGGCTGTAAACAAGTCTCAGTCCTGCCTAGGAGGTTGCAGAGCCCCCGGGTGCGGATTCAGGTCTCGGCCCTGCTCCCACCCAGGCGCTGCGCACAGGAGGAGATGGTGGCTGTGGCTGAGCCCCGCATCTCTTCTCACGAGAAGCGCCAGTAATGGCGGTCTGAGGAGATACAGGCTATGGCATCCCTCCCCCCAGGGCATACGAGCTGTGTTGCTTTGCTTTTTTTGCAATTTATGGGGGACTGAGGTTGTTCTGCTCCGTATCCCCTCCCAGCCACAGCGCACAGCCCCCTGCAGTCCCTAGGGACTGCCTCAGTGCAGCCACCCCAGTCCTCCGCCTGGCTCAGGTGGCCTGTCCCAGCCCCAGCTGCCAGCTCGCGTCTTGGGCTGGGTGTCACGGGGACCCTTTGTGCCTGTTTAACTCAGTTCTGTCGGTCAAGGGGTGCTCAGGGCAGATCTGAGCCTTGGAGGCTCCCCCTCCATCCTGCTGGCCCCTCTGTTGGAGAGGGGAGACCCAGCGAACGAGCACCAGTCCTCCTTTGCCGCTCCCTCCCTGCGGGATCAGTCTCGCATTGTTTTGCTTTTTCTTCTTTCTTTCTTCCTTTTCTCCTACCAGGTTTTTGGCGTCTTTGTCTTTTAAAGTGGGTGATGTTCTGTCGGAGTTCGGCAGGTGCTCTGGTTGGCTGAGTAGGTCCACAGATGTGATTCTTGGTGTGTTTGTGGGAGAGGGTGAGCTACAAGCGTCCTTCTACTCCACCATCTTGCTTCTCTCCCTAATTCACCTTTTTAAGAGATGAGAAAGTTCAAACTCAGAGCTAAGACTGGAGTCCCAGCGCCCTGACTCCAAGTTCACTGCTCTCTTCTGTACTCAGGGCTGCCTCAGTATCTCCCTGACTCTTAGGGTGTAAGTAAGTAGCTGTTGCCCACTCCAGATCCAGCCTCATCTTGCCTTACTTTTCTGGTTGATGTTCAGTGGTCTAGGAAAGTAGACTTCAAGGTTAGAGAATGAGTTTCCCTTTCACCCCCATTCCTCTTGTGGGGGAAGCCATGTGGCTTCTCATCTGTGTTACATAAAGCTCCTAAATAAGAACGAACCCTTACTGAGGCCAAGACCCTTTTTTTTTTGTCATTAACATTTGTCAGCGTCTATGATAGGAATTTTGCCATCTGACATCCTTCCCCAACTCACAGCTCACGATTGGGTAGTACATCTTCATGTATACAAGGAGGATCAGAAAGGCTGAGCCAAACCCTGTTAACAAAACAGTCCCCTAAAGAGCTATAATACTGCTCAGTGGTAATATCATCCCTCTGCATTTTATCTTGTACATGAAATCTGGGCTAATTATCATTTTCTCATACAGTACATTTTAGACCATTGTGTTTTTGTGTCCCTGCCTAGTTCATTAAGCAGGGTTTTACAGCTCCTCCAGTAACAGAATTGCTATTGACACTTTCATTAGACCCATAATTCAAATGCTTGTCTGCCTTCCAAATGGAAGCCTCTCAGTCCAGAACCACAATCTGGCCACCGACCGTATGTTGGCTTTTAGAACTGTCATAAGCTCATCATCACATTGAAGTTCTTGAAGGGTCAAAATCTGCTTCCTTGGTGAACTATCTCCATCCAACAGTCAACGTGTTCTCCAATAATAGTCAGCCAAGCTTCTCTGTCACTCCATGAAAACTCCTCCAGACAGTTCTCAGTATAGGGTGACTAAAACACAAATAATCATTGTCTGTATTTAAATATTAATTCCCTGCTTCGTTCATTCATTCTGTTATTTCCATTAAGAAATGACAGAACCATTTAAGACCAATATGCCCAGTATTATGGCAAATGGTATAATGATTTAAAGATGCATAAAATGGTCTCCGCCTTGGAGTATCTTATAGTCTAATAGATGTGTATGTAAGTCATTATACAGTTTGGTGGAATGTGAAAAATTTCACCACTAGGTTGCCAGCCATTGGAATGGCTGTACTTGCAGATAGCTGTGCTAACTAATGGCTGTTATCAACACTATTTTCTCACCAATGGGTCAAATGGAAATAGCTTCAACTGGCCTAAGTAAAACTGCATATATGTATGGAATGTATCACAGAATATAACTAAGGAATAGATGAAATGGGAGTCCCCAGAAATGATTCTGATAGAATTTAGAGAGAAAGTGAGGCTGGACCAGGGAAAACCATTGCCCTAGTTAGTGACTGTGAAAAATAGTCTTTGCCTTTTTAGTGTTATTTTATTTTTCTCTCTTACAATTTAAGAAAAGATTTAGTGCAAATATTTGATTGAATTAATAGTAAAGCTTTTTAGGAGTGCCTACTAGACAACAAAAATTTCTGCTTTTAATTTTCAAGGAAGCGACTATCTTGGACCTTGGGGCAGCTTCAGTGTGCAGTTGAGGTTTTCAATTGCTTTTAGCTATTTAATAGAACATGCAATTGTTGAACATATATTTCAATGTACAGTTAATTGTGTTTGATTTAAAAGTCTGCTAATTGGGTGATTTGCTTTCGCTTTCTGGCCAATCAGATAACAGGGAAAATAATTATTTGGGGATGGTTTTTACTCTCCTGGTATCTTTTACTTTAAGAAGAAAAGATGAGAGAGGAAAAATGGAAGACAAAGTATAGTCTTGTACCATTTCTTCACATCCTTTCTTGGTTTACTTAGCCTTACTGAGCACACATATCAGATTATCTACCTCATTTGGTTTCTTCCAACCAAATCCATAGCTGGATTCCTGAAACAGAAAGTTCCTCTGATAGAATGGACTCAGACCATTAAGCAGAAGAACGGTGCAAAGGTGGACCTTATTGGTGATGGGGGTAACATGGCTTCATTTTGCAGTAAAACTGCTGTGGTGTTGGAAAATGACTTCAGTATTTTTCTCAAGTATATTCCATTCTACTGCGTGTGCCTTCGTAAACATGTCCAATCATGTGATGGAGGTCAACGACAATGTAAGGTTTAGAAATTGTTGCTTGGAAATCACACTCACTTAAATACCTGAATCTGTCCATCAGCCGTGCAGTAGCTTATTCCAAGCCTGTGCAGAAGAGCGATTTGCAATCTCCTTGCTTTTCATTTCAAGTAGCATCACTCACTATAAGCCAGATATTCAGGCCTCTTCAGAAGCCTCCAGGGTGAAGGACAAGTAAGAAGAAGCTTATCGAATCTTTCACAACTGTGGCCGACTCTGTTGACTACATCAAACTTGTTACATCTTTTCTCTGGTATTTTATTTTAAAATCGCTCATTTTTCTTTTCATGAGACAAATAATAGGGATTTTGCCACATAATTTCACAATCCCAATGGCTCTTTTGTGGTTCTGTACATTTAATTGACCACTTTCCAGGTTGAAAGCTGGGTCAGCATGACTAGGGTGGGAGGAGAGGACATAATGTTGATTTTTGCAGATCTTTCCCCTTTGAGTTATCTTTGCTCATCTTCTATAAGCTCAGATTGCCTAATTAAATTGATTTTTTCCCCCTTTTTCACTCACAGGGACTTACCAATTTGGGCTCCTTCCAGAGCTGAAAACTGATTATAAATATGAAACAGATTTCACTACTGGACTTGAACTCCACATAAAAAGCAAGAAGATCTTCAAAATAATTGAAAAAGGTCCTCACCAAAGAATAGATACAATATGACTGGCAGGACATCAAGGAGTAAGAGGTAAATTTCTAATGAAAACATGTTTGCTCTGTGGTCAGGTATACAGAAGATGTGCTTCCAGGCTTTCTCAGTTAAGGGGCAGGGCAGGGAGGGCCATTTCTAATTCGAAAAACATATTGGGTGATCCAGTCTCTTTTTCCTCTGGGTCTGTCTGTCTAGCTATTAATTATAGTGATATTGCAGAGTGCTAGATTCTTTCTAAAGACATCATTTTGGGGGAGAGGTATGCTTAATAAAGGAAGCATCCTTCACAAAAACTCCCAGGAACATTTGCCAATTTCTTGTGCTTCAGAAATTGTGGAGTGCCAACTTGAAAACCTATATCCAGGATGACAAGGGATCAAATCAAGGGCAAAGGGCAATAAAGTTGTCAGTCCTTGTTTATCTTGATGTTGGGAAGGAAGAAAGGAAGGAAGGAAAGAAAAGAGGGGATGGAGGGAAGGAAGAAGGGAAGGAAGGAAGGGAGGGAGGCAGGGAGAGAGGGAGGGAGGGGAGGGGTGGGCCCTCCAGAATATACAAAGATCATCTGGGGTAGACATTTGCATTTTAGCTTTTCCCGGTGTGAAAAAGGAGGGAAGGGATACATATATATGAATGAAGTGTTCTCAGTCTTTTCTCCCATCTGAACTATCAAATGGTTTAGTGGCTTCATCTATTCTGTTCTGTCAGGAAGCATCTATGAGTTGCCAGATTCTGTTCTTAGGCTTTTTTTTTTTTTGAAACAGAATCTGAAGAATGGGGAAAGGATAGAAAGAAAAAAAGCCATGCTATTCTCATGAGAAAAGCAGTAAACTTGGAACATGGCTATGAAAGGCTTTCAGTCCCGCAAAGGAAAAGGGCAGAAGTGGGTGGGGTGGTATCTGAGGGGTGAATGTGAACAACTGTACTCAGCAAGGATGTAGCATGAGGATTTTAGGAGGTGGAAGGAGTGCCTTGGAGAGGGATGATGGGGTTTGAGCAGGAAGCATTCAAGCTCTCAGAGCGGGCTATTCAAGGTCAATGGCCAGTGGGGGCGGGTAGAGGGTGTTAGAAAATGAGATAAGACGGGAGGTGTTAATAGTAATTGCCATGGACTGTATTCTTAGATCTCTGTTTCTTCAATGAATGAGTAAAAAGTGGACTCCCTATTTTTAAATGAAACGTCACTTTGGGTCTGAACACATGGACACAGACGTTGATAACATTTTACCCGTAAAGCAGATATTCCACCAGGCACCTTGGCCATGAGGTTCCTTTTAAAATAAATCATAGTGTCTTCTCAGTGCCCACGTCTCAGCCCCAACCACTGGATTTCCAGTTCTCCTTATATGGACTAATTTGTAAAGAGCCGAGCTCTTTACAAGGGAAGCAGGTGTCCTGAGCTTTAACTCTGGAGAAAGCACTGACTAGTTGTATGATCCCAAGTCGCTCATCTAAGGTAGTGATGTGAACAAGTTACAGATGTGGGACTTTGGAGTCATATACAGATTTTGCACAAGTTACTTAATCTTTGTTAGGCATTTTTTCTCTTATCTATAAAGTTGGGACATTCAGAGGATCCCTTCATGGGGCTTTTTAACGAGATAATGCATATGCAGCTTCACAGTGATGAGTTCAATAAATAGTAGCCACCTTTGTTAGAGTTGCTGTTATGATTATTGGTGGTGGCGATGATACTAATCCAAGGCCCTCAGTTTCCTTACCTTTCACGTAGGATAAGATAACATTTTCTCTACATTCCCTTCCAGTTCTAAAAATGCCTTCTGTAATTCCTGAGTTTAGGAACACCAACCACATGAAAAGGGCAATGGTCAATGAGACAGCTCTTTTTGCTCTAAATCTCTTAGAAATATTTGGTTTCTTTCAAAATACCATACCCTGGAGAGGGCCCAAGATTTCATTTAACTTGTGCTTCTCCAGCTGCAGAATCTTGCTCAGAACTACTTGAACACTTACTGAGTAAGAAAAAAGAGTTTTTCTATTTCCATCTATGAACTAAACACTACTTGAACTATTTATGATTTACCCTTTATGTATGGAGACACTGGTTAGTTCTGCTTTTTCCTAGGAACACAAATACCCTAAAAAATATATTTTCTCTCCCCCTTTTTCTCTTCCTCCCTCTTTTAAGATATTAAAACCCCAGTTCTTCTGTGATATGAAACAGATCATCTCTTTTAGACTTTGGAGGGTTGTTTTTTTTTTCTTCCTTGACTTGCTTGGTAGCATCTTGCCCATAGAAATGTGATACTGATAGAGTTGTTGATTGGTCCTAGAATATATCACAGTGTCTAAATACATGAAATTAGAAAAAGAAAAAAAAGATATCAACATTGTTCTGAAAGGAAGGTAGTTAAAATTCAGAAAGAGAGATTCTTTAATTAACTTAATAAAATTACTAATGGAAGCATTTTAACTGCTAAATTTAATTTACTTGTCAAGATATCAGGCTACAAAGAGGAGGGAAGAGTGGGAACTCTGCTTTCCATTATGATGTGCTCTATTATAGAATAAATTTGCTTAAAATGAAATATATCACCAAAAGCCATCAATGACATCTTAATTTGGAACAGCCAGTTGAAAAGTAATTAGACTATGAAGCAATCAGTTCTAGTAAATCAGTGTTTCCCTTTACATAAACATACTTTTTTTTTTTTTTTTGCTATTTATATACAGGAAAGACTTTCAGGTAGTAGCAGGCAAAGATGCTGATTCTTTTGGCTGTCGGTGTTTTTACTTTACATTACCAAGCTGTCAAAACAAAATGTTTTATGATGGGATTAAAAAATGTATAAGCATCTGATTTGATTTAGTGTTTATATTTATATGTTGAACTGAGGAGAGTTTGCTTATCACAGGGGTTTAAAAGATTTACATTTGTCTGCTTCTTACTTCCCAAATGCTTTCCAGATCCACAGGCAGCCCTGACACCTTACTTCAATGAATGAGGCTCAGTCAAAAATCAAACAAGAGCCCCGCTTCTCCCTGCAGGGTCCCACGTAAGTTATATAAATAAAGGTGGAGAATGTGGTTGCTAATGAGACTTGGAAGAGGATGGAGGTGGGAGTGGTTAAAATCATCCTTTTGTTCAGTGTTTGAACAGTTCGCCATTCGAAATTTCTCAAAATGTAACTGACCTTCCTAGAAGTGTGCTTGTTTGTTTGTAACTATACAAAGCTAAGAAGGTGGGAGTGGGAGTGGGTGAAACAAATAATTTATATTTCATCCAGTTTTGAAAAGTCTATATGGTTTAGCTAAGAGGTATCAAAATTCCAAGTATCAAACTACTTTATATTAGGAAACACTTTTATAAATGTATCTTTTCTGATCACCTTAGTATGTCTCTGAAGAAGGTATTTTCATCTCCAATTTACAGACATGGAAATGAAGGCCCAGAGAGGTTAAGTGACTTGAGGAGATCGCAGAGGTAGTTAACGGGAGAGCTGGGGCTGGAACGAGGGCTTCTGGGCTCCTGATACTTTTTCCACAGCATCTGCTTCTGATGTTGGAATCCCATCTGTTATATTCGGAGGGGAAGAGGTGTGAGAAAAATAACTAGAGGAGATATCAATCACTCAGCAAAATATTTATGGAGGACTTCATTCAGATATTAGGGGAGTCACCATTGTCACCATCCCTGAAAAATCAGAGGGGATGATGAATTATGCCAAAGAGAACATTAGCTCAGAAGATAGAGACTACCTTGCAATGTCACGCTTGTGTTAGTGGGTGTTATTCTCCAGTGGGAGAGGGTGGTGTGAGAGAGGAAAATAAAGGACAGTTTTATAGTGAGCAAAATAAGCTACACTTTGTTAGGAAGGGAGGAACCTAGGGAAGCCGCCGAAACACAGCATGCAAATCACTTAACAGTATGCAAATGACCTCACCCTAATAGAGTAAATCATTTTCATTCTCTCCACTGCCTATTTAGAAATGTGATCATTGATAACAACCCTACAAGGTACTATTCCTAGTTGAAAAACACATTGGGAGGAAATCTAATATGTATGATACAATGGGAGTAAGTATTAAGATTCATAATTGGAGATAGGTGAGAAGTAGCCCAAGACAATACAATTAGAGCTCAGAAGCCTCTCTCCGTCTGTGGCAGTGAGAGAACCGGGCAGAGCACGGGGGAAGCAGGGCCCCTCTGCCTCTAGAATTCCAGTAAAAATACAGTCTGCCATCCCCAAGGGCTGCTCGAGATCCATGTGTAACAGGACAATTGCCCTGGGAGTGGAAGAGGCAGGAACTGTATAAAAATAGGCAGAACAACTTAAAGTTAGCAAAGAAAAGATAAGGTGCGCAAAAGTGGGAAATGAGATACAGCTAGTAAAAGAGGTTAGGTGGAGTAAAGAGACCTTTTATAAACGTATCAAGGGGAAAAAAAAGGGGGGGGGGATCCTCTACAGAAAAAAGACCAGTGAATAAATGAGAAGAGGAGGGCATGAAATTAATGATGGCTGAGATATTGACCTCCTGCTTTAAGTCAGTTTTTAAGAGAAAAATGAGATGAAAATTTGGACAGCTGGAAGGCAATAATGACTTTTAAAAATAGGTATCGACAGAAAGGATGAGGGGAAACTTAGAAAAAAAATTAAACATTGTGGCATATACAGATTGTAAGTTTCAGATAATATGCTTCCTAGGGAATTAGATTCCCTGCCTACTAACTAGGCACAGACATGGAAGGAGAACAATACAAATTAGAAAGATGTCAGAATTTTCTCACACATCACAGTAGAATAAAGTTTGGGGTAGGTTGGGCGTGCAAACACAGGGCAGGATCTCTTAGTGCTGTGTAAATTTTGGACCTGTTTGGTTGTGCCTGTGTGACAATTGCAATTTTTAGAAAATTGGAGAAATTTTTTCTCTTTTATTTACTGAGAAAGGAAATAAACTCAATATCTAATATAACTAATGTATTTTGTGGATACTTTAAAAGTGCAAGAAAAACTGTCATTGTCCTCTGGGGGAAAATTGGAAAAATGATGCAGTCTCTCAAACATTATGTAAAGTGT